CAGCGACATAGTCATTAAGCCAACTGCTGGTCCCAACCAACTTTTATCCCTAAGTGAATTCCTAGAGACTATTTAGTTAATAAATTTTACTTAAGTACTCTAATTACAGTCATTGTTTTGTTGTATTTAACTTTGTAAAACACATACTACTTAAGTATCATATAAATTTCTTCAAGTAATGTTCTCCAAATAAAATAAATAAATAGATAAACTAAGGCATTGAAAATAGGACTGTACTCAAATGGAAGTTCCTAGAGAAAAAAAGAAGCTTTCGTTTGTGAACGGAAGCCAGATCTCAGTAATCCCAGAACCACATGGTCACAGAGCTTCGTGGGCTCCGTTCCCAGGTAGTGCAGAGGTAACACAGAAATCAGCCTGAGTGCTATACACATTGATCTCTGCTCATTTTGCCACTAACAGAAAAGAAACTGCATTTTAGGCAATTTGTCTACACCTTCCCTCTAAATCATCTAAATGAACTTCAGAAAATGTATAGGTTACTTTGATATCATGTTGGATTATTTTGGTGATTAAAAAGCACTTCCCATAATTCTCACAATGTAGTTCGTAGAGCACACCTATTACTCTGATGCTCTTCAGGAGGCTGGGAATTGGGAAACTTTTCTTTTCCTTTTTAAAAAATATTTATTTATTTAAAAATTAAAGTATGAATTTATTTTGGTACAAAAACTTTTTGAAATTCATACATAGTTTCCCCATTACACATATTTCCATGAGCTTTGTTCGTTGAGACATTTTTTTAATTAATTATTTTACATTCATTCCCTAAGCATCGTTACAGCATACAAAATGTGATTTCCCATCCAGAATATACTGCATAGTTGTTTAATCATTCATGTTATCATCAATAATGTTCCATTTCTAGTTTTATATATATATATATGAACATCTGTTTCAGGCCCTCTGCCCTTTCCCACCCTCCTCCCACACTATCTCTGGTGTCTATAGTTGTTTTTCATTTCTTTTCCCCCCACATTTGATTGATCACATAATTTCTTATATAATCTAACTAATTTCAATAGCAAATTCAGCTAGTAATTTCAAGAAAGACAGTTTTAACTTTAATAAATCAAAGAAATGCTAAGGAACTTTGCTTAAAACATAAAGCTAGGAAACAGGTTAGGATTCTGTTCAAATAGTAGGTACATGAACCTATCGACAGCTCAAGACAGGATGAAAATCCTTAAAACCGGAAAACAAAGCCTAGAAGAAAATCAGCAATATTTTAGTCAAAAGTCATAAAAGGCTGTTTCACCAGTTTTAAGTCTCATGTACTTAATCTATCTTCTGTTGTGGTTCTATCTTCCCGATTAAATTCTGGGATATAATATTCAACTCCAGACTTGTCCCTATGATTAAGTTGTCCATTTTCTTAGTTTTTGAACTCTTCTTTCTTTTTTTTTTTGAGAGGTTTTTGCTATAGGGCGCGTGCGCTCGCCAGACAGACAGACAGAGAGAGAC